AAAAAAAAAAAAAAAATCAGTATATGACAATTACAATTTTGTTATAGAGCAATCAGATGGCTCGACTTATAGAGTCATTCATATTTATTCACCAATAGTATATTGACACATGTCCCGCAATAAATACAATTTGAACATGTGTCAATACATTCGGTGGATGGTTCCATAACAAAACCATCCGATGGCTGACAATTAATAATACTATTATTTATTAGTAATCATAATATTAATATGCTATTGTTTTGACATTATTATTGTGCATCTCTACCTTGTACGATGTCATTAATAAATTAATAGCCCAACTACCTCAAACACAATTAATGTAAGGAAAAAACAGAACAAAATGTGGTCCAAAATAGAAGAAAATGGCATTAATTAGCTAGCAAGGTTGAGAATATCAATGAAAAAACGATGCTAATGCTGCTTGAAGGCGAAGGGTGAATGAGTTTCTAGTCAAACTGCAGACAGGTAAAGAGTGGTTGAGCCAAAATTTATTACTACTTTGACAAAATACATGTCAATAAACACGATACACACAAGTAGAAAATTAATTTCAAAAGCTAAATTACAAAATATAGTCAGTATTTTTTGCGCCGTGGCAATAATAGTCATCATCTTTATGAATCGTCAATTTAAAATTTTGGGTTCATTACCCTTATCAGGCTAAACTCGACTACATTGTGTTTGAACTCGCACAATTGGTTGATGTGGACTCCACGTGGATGCATGCAAGCAGGCCACGTGGTCTCCATATCAGCCGAGTTTTTGAATTCCAACACATATTTCGTTGAATTTTGCCGAATTTGAGTAATAACCCTAAAATTGAAAAAAAAAATAAAAATAAAACCATCAAGAGTTAGTAGTTTAGTACATCTTTGGTATCACTTTAGTTACTAATTAATATTATTTCGAGCCGTAGAGCGGCGCTACTTATAGTGTGGCTGGTAAAACTAGTTGATAAGCTAACTTATGGCTTATATGTAATTTTCGAGTTTATAGCTTATAGTTTATGACTTACAGCTGAACAGATAACTTATATGATAAATGTGTTTGGTAAATTAAATTACTGATAAGCTAACTGAAATACAAAATTCAACTAGCATCAAAAGAAACTTATGAGATAAACTCGGGTTTTTTTAAAAATACTCGTCCTACCAAATAAGACTTATTTAAATACAGAAAACTTATAAGCTAACAAAAAAATAAGCTATAAGCTAACATATTTTGCTACCAAACATAGAATTAAAATGTTTCCTATTTATAATAATTCTCCCTATAATTTATATATATAGTAAAATTTATGATAATCCAGTGGTCCTATAAATGGTATGTTGGGCTGAAACATGTTATGTGCACCCTAACATCCTCAAGAATTTGGTTGGTTACGTATTAATGACAACCGAGTCGGAGTCGGGTTGAACTCATTTTCAAAAGTTAATTTCACAAATTACGGCACTCGAGAAAAAAAAAATATTGAAGCAAGATTTCGTTAAAATACGGTTGGAGTTAAAAGTTATTGTTATCACAAATTCTTGTTCGAGACAATTTAACAATCAATCGCGCGGTTCGAAATTCGATACATTGATGTACGATTTTGCTATGAAGCCAACAGTTAGCTCTATAGTGGAGTCAATCTTCTATATACAACAAGTAAATTTATCATATTCTTTGATTACTTAAATAACACTAATATAATAATTTTATTAGTATAGTAGATTTATTTGTCGTATATATAAGGTTGGCTCCACTATGGAGCCAACTGTTGGCTTAATAGCAAAACCGCATTGATGCATCTTAACAATTGGCCTAACCGAGCGACCTGTCATCTTTTTTTTTCCACAAAAAAAATGTATATTTATACTTTTATTAAATAATCATATTTTTATTTATAATATATTTAAAGTATGTCTCATGGATAACAAAATATGAATATTAAAAAAAAAAAAAAATCACCAACGGTTAATAAAGAAATAAAACCCAATAAAGTGCATATCTATCAACAGAGACTGCTAAATAAATGCTTCATTAATAAAGTTAGCTGAGAGGTGTAAATGTCGTGCAGTACAATTAATTCACCCCATGATACAAGAACATTATTATACTCGAATCAAATATCTTAACGAAATAGTAGTATACATTTTGATTAAAATCACAAATCAAATCAAAGTTTTCATAGATATTTCATTGTAAAATACTAGCTTTTATTGAAAATTTTCAATGGAAATTAAAACCAAAATATTTTGTTAGAATTAATTCTTGTTAGTTTTTTTTTTTTCAGAATTTATCGATTTTAGTTCATTAACTGTTAGTAGTAATCATATATGGCATTTTTCAGAATTTATCGATTTTAGTAGTAATCATATGGCATTTTCATTACGGAACCATTCGGTCGTGGTTTGTAACCGTTAGATCATCATGTAACCGTCGGGATAATTGATTTAACGGTTTCAAACCCCGACGGAATGGTTCAGTAACGGCACCGAGCATCTCCCTAAATATAATACTACAAATTTAAGTTAAAAAATAATGTAGATTAATTAAACTTTTCCTCATTAACTGTTAATCATAATTAGTTACATCAAATTATAATTTCATGGGCATAGGTTATTTATTTAAATCAAAAATAAAAAAAATAACTG